AAATCTCCAGATTTCCAGTTTATAATGGATACATTTTAAAAATAATTACTTCTTGATGTGTTGTTGCAAATATAAACAGTATTTCTAGACCCCTCTGTCTATTACATACATTTTCAGTTTCTGTCATTATCAACAGATCATTGATTTTGAAGAATAATCGGCCCTCACAAATAAAATTGGTGTAGAGTCACTGGCCTAGGTACTTCACGAAAAGTAAATTCTAATTAAATGATCAATTGTCTTTTTTTAAAAAAATCTGTGTTATGGAAACACTAGAATATTCACAAAACTAGACAGAATATCATAATGGAATCTCATGTTCCCCTCGGGGGTCTGATCCTGATCACCCACATCGCATCTGCTTTCCCCTCCAGCACATTTGTTAGGGTGCAAAAATTTTATCTCATCCATACATGTCTGGGTATGGATCTTCAAATAACAAGTAGTTTTAAAAGATAGCCACAGTATGGTCATCTCACTAGAAGTAGAGTAACTACCAGTGTCAAAATATGTAGAATGTGTCAAATTTCCAATGACTTCATCAGAATTGTTTTAAGGCCGTTTGACTCGTTACGTAGTCATGTCACACATTATGACAAGTTTCCCTTTCTTCCGCTTCTTTTTGCCTCTAGGTTATGGTGGCCAGTTTTCCTGTTCATATTTGTAGCAAGAACTAAACCACTTAAACTATAGCATTTATCTAGCCTTGGTTTCTGAACATTTTATCTACTCATTTCTTGCAAAATTGAGGCTGTTTCATATTTCTTTCTTTCCTTTATTTTTCCTTATTTATTTCTCTTCTTTCTTGTCTTGAATCAGTACTTGCTATCATCTTATAGTTTGCTATGATTGGCCAACAGCATGCCTTTCTGTGGCTTTTATACTTTTATGCATGGATGTTTGTTGGCTTCAAAATGATGAAAACTTCTAATCGTCTTAAGCAACCAATGCACAAAACTTTTCATTTAACTATGTCTCTCACTAGCATGGTCCTTCTCTTCTGAGTGTCCCAGGTCTTCACTGTCAATTTTAAAATGCATTCCTAGAACTAAAAATTATTTTCACGTAGTGTGTTGTTTGGTTCCTGGTGCTGTTGTTTGATCAGAGAATGGAGGCCACACCCCGGAAATGATTAGGCCTACAAGGTAGTGCTATACCCTCCCCAAACCCAAACCCAAACCCAATCCAGGTGTACAAGATGGAGCTGTTTCTTCTCTCAATTTCACCATGTTTCTCTCTAAATGGTATAATTTGTGTTCCTATTTGTTAAGCAGACTGGGGGTGAATTCTTGATCTTTTGCCTCGAAAGCAACAATGGGTGTTCATGGGCTACAGAGTCTTCGGGACATCAAGGATAACGCCATCTATAAAATAACTGCTTTTGCTCCAAACTTTGAATACCAAGTCCCCTTTGATATGATGTTCAGCTAACTGAAAGTAAAGAACTCTGCATACATATTGCAATAACCCTTCTGAAACTTGAGGTTACATAATAGCCAAAAAGCTCAGACTCTGACATAGGTCCACAAACTTGAACCTGTTATATAAAAAGTCAGGTTTTCCTATATCTTGAAAGCTCTTGTATCCGGAGAACAAATCATATCAATATTATTCTAAACATAATATGACTGTACATTAGTTAATAGGCAATTTGAAAATTACCCATTTTATCAATTTAAAAAAAAATCTCTATCATCTCTGCACAGAGCTATTAAGAATTAATAATCTTTATTTCTTCATCCAAACTACTCAGAAGATACTTTTACACAGTACTATCTGCTGTCAAACAGATGCCACAGCATGGCACATGTGTCAGTGTGGTTCTATGCGTGAGCTTCGGAAGGGGAGTTAACTTGGACATCTGTCCAGGAGTAAGTGGGCCTGTGGAAGAAAGTGGAGGGCTATTTATAGCCCTAAACTTGAGCGCAGTTTGAGTCTCATCCAGTTCGGGGCCTGACCTAACGTACCCAATGTAGCATGGGTCTGGTGTACACACCCCACACCTACCGAAATGACGCCACGCTCAGGGGGGCCTCACACAGTAAAACGTATTCAGTCTGATGCCTCGATCAGACCCGGATGTGACTCTGCTATGCCGTGTGCAGCTGTGGGAATTCAGGCATTTGTCTCACCCCTGCCAAGCCTCAGCTTCCTATTCTACCAACGGTAAGAATAAGAGCATCTCGTGTGGTTGTGGTAAGGACTAAATGAGCAGGTGGCAAGCTTGACACAGCGCTTACTCTGTTACATCAATTTATCATGTCCCATTTCAAAGTTGCTCTTTCCAAGAAACCCTTTGGAGTTCAACTTCTTCATAGTTCTAATTAATCTACTGCAACTATGTATGCAGCATCATTTCCTTTCTTCTGCCCGGTGAAGTAACCTGGGTGGTAATGTGCAGAGACGATCTCAGGGAAGACCTTGGTGCGATTTGTACACATACCTTACACTACAGTTGGACAAGCCCAGCCCTGATCTTAAACCACAAAAGGTGCACCTTGTACCCCATGAACTCCTCTGACTTTGGAGCAGCCACAGAATTCAAAGGAGCCTGAGCTTCCCACAGATGGAGGTGAGCAGCGTGCACACCCACTCTGTGAGGAGCAGCTCTTGCTCTTCCTTTATTGCTACCAACTTTGTTTTCTTTTGTTTGTTTGTTTTGTTTTGTTTTGTTTTTTGTGATAAATGAATGCGACGGGTGATGAGTGGGTGGCACAGGGCTACCTAGCATAGGGCGAGTGTTTACCCTTCAATAACCTGTCCACAAATGGTTGCAAAAGAGGCACAGCAGATGAGAAAAAACACAATTCCAGGCTGAAGGAATAGCCATACCAAGGCACTGTACAAAAGATAGGCCTTTTATAAGAGACGAGAAAAAAGCTACTGTAGCTAGGGCACCAAAGTGGGAATCTCAAAGACAAAATAAAAAGTGTGCAGAGGAAAAGCATGCCAAAGCTTTGAATAGTCACAGAGGATGAGTATGATACTAACCCTAACAGATGAGTTCACTGAGTAGGCACTCTGATTCCCATATGAGCACACAATCAATGAATTGCTCCACAAAAGCATTAAGTACACCACTGAGGTTCAGGTGACAAGGTCCTATCAACTGTGGATACCAAAGAGCAGGACCTGACCGTTACCCAGAAGTATATGGTGTTTTCATTTTTGGGGTGGTGAGGCACTGGAAATCGAACTTCAGTCCTTGCCCTTGCAAGGCAGGCCGCAGAACCACTGAGGCTAAACACCTGGCTCTTTACTTTCTTAATTGATCAATAATTCAATTATTTTTATGAGTCACTCATGGAGGGCCTTTCATCCAAAAAACTCCCGATAGGAAAAAAGCAAAAAAGAAAGTTCAATTCTATGATCAGGAATTTTACCATAAAGAGTTTTATGAATCAACAAAAAGGGGCCCAGAGCCTAACCCAGAGGCAAAGCCAAAGCTGGTTTGGCCAGCTGAGCATCCGAATCAGATGGCAGCCCACGCCCTGAGCAGAGGTAGGACACTCACTCATAGGTATCTGAATAACTTATGCAGGGCTAAGTAAGAAGTTTTTATAGACAGCTTTCTTTAAGACAAACCGAAGTCCACATGATACAGAATATCTAAGGAGCAGGAAAAATGTTATTTATATTTAGTTAGCAAATTCTGAACTGGAACTGTCACATGTTAAACCTGACTACAGAAGAGAAGATAACACAAACTATCATTGCAATTTCAAATCTCGTCTGTGCTGTAGTCCTGAGAAAGTGGGAGAACATCTGAGTTAGTTTCTTTTTCTGAAAAGCTGAAATAATGATATTTGATGGAATTATATGACATTTTAGTCAACAAAACACTTAAAATACAGCGATCTCTGAGTAATTGTTGTTGTAAATTTGGGGTGACAGACTAATTTCTGTGCAGAAAGGACAAGTAAGGCAATTTTTCTTATAAATATTGACTGAAAATCTCTAATAGAAATCACTATGTCTATATTAATTTCCACCCAAAAAACTAAAACCCACATATTCTATTTTTTGGTTGACTAATTAAAAACCAACCCGCACAGCTCTTGACTTGGAAGTTGTCAAAAGCGCCACCTGTCTTGTTTTTTTACAGCTGTCAGAAGCAGATTTTAGATCCACCTCCAACAATTTTGCTCCAACTAGAAGCAGCCTGTGTCTGTATTCAAAATACATTAATTTCAAATGATTCCTTTATTGTAAGGCAAAAAAGAAATGTGTTTATAGAGTATTTGCTACCACAGCCAAATAATAAAAATTATGTTTTAAGTGTAGCATATAGGATAAGCAATGAAACAAATTATTCTAACATAAAGACATACTTCAGCACTTAAAGAGCAACTGAAAGGAATCTATGAAAAGAATCAGAGTGTAACATTTAATGTATTTATTGTGAACGCTAGTAAATCTGTAGCATGTGGACTTTTATCTCTGTCTCAAGGTGTCCATCAAGGGTAAAATCAAAATTTAATCAGAACACTTATGTCTTAAATTGCATATACATTTTATGCATGTATGTGTATTCATGCACTCTGGTTTAAAAGGAAAAATGAATTTAAGATCTCCATTTGTAAATACCATAAAGCAAAAATTCTCAATCATCTCTCTGAGCTTAAATATTGACTGGAATATTTTCAGTTTGCCATGGTCTTCATCTGTGCAATCCCTACCCTTCATGCTGAACAGAGAGGGGATCGGCCTTCATCTTACATGAAGTAGCTATTTATAGAGGTGTGGGTGACAACTGCTAACTAGGGGGGCCCTTGTACAGCAGTTTCCACATGTGAAATTGCAAAGAAATCTCTGCTCACCCCCACCCCAACCCACCCCGGGGATCAAAACCGGTAGCCTCTCAGCTTTCAAAGCCACTCCCCACACTGCACCAGACAGTGCTCTCAGGACCACATTTTAGGCGGAAGCATTGTCAGTCCTTGTGGCTGTCAGCGCACCCCCTCTCCCCCCCAACGGGATTCTCCTGGAAACAGCAATACCTTCGGCAGTGATCTCAGTCATGGTGGTCTTCGAGAGTCAGGCAGGTGAAAAGGTCTCGTCAAGTGGTACTTTGCAGAACCTTTTAGGATTGGAGAACTCTGGCAGAGGGCTCTGTGTTCGAATGTAAGGGTGCTTTGTTTTCCTGGCTGTTTCTGCTGCTTCTTTGCTGTCCTGTTGAACTTTGCCTCTTCTCCGCAGAGTTCTCCCCTGGAAACAACCTAAGCCCTTTTTCCAAGCAGCACTTGTGGCTCAGTGAGAAGTATCAGCTTCGAACAAAAATAGCCTCATCTCCCGGGGACTGTTCAGCACTTTTTTTTGGCACCCTACAGCAAAACACACACACACACACACACACACACACACACACACACACACACACACACTCTAGCTCCCTAGTCCCAAAGAGAGTTGGGAGGGCATAGGAACTAAAATGTAGTATCTAAGACCCAGCAGTTTCTCTAAGATAATTACAGGTCTTGGGGTCTGTGTCAGAAAACATGAGATAAAGAGTTGAAAGTAATCTTATCCCTGAAAGCTCAGATTTATTCTTAGTACCCTTAATGCTCAGAACATTCCTCTTTCCCTTATTTGGTTTGGGGAGGGTCCTGAAATGCTACCAGTGGTGAAGGGGAGGGGAATCAAGTAATTTTCTCAAAGTTGATTTGCTATTGGTCCAGAGCCACTCAGTAAGTGCGGCTACTTATTCAAGGCTACATTTTAAATTTCCACGGTCAAATCCTGTGCTTTCTTCTAAACTGGACACGTGTAGGAGATACATACTGAGCGTTCATCAATAAGAAATACAAAATACAAACTTCAAATCCCATGCTTTAGAATGAATGAAGTGTTGGATTTTTATTTTTGCAAATCCCTAACTGAAAATGAAATATGAGCTTATACAGCAATGGGAAAGGAAGGTGACATAAGGTTTTGAAGCCCATAGCTCACATGTTAGTAAAAGATTTCAATTTCTCCCTTTCTCAAAATTAAAAAAAAAAAAAAAAGGATCATAGCAGTGGCTAACAATTAGCTAAATTGACTGATTAGCATTTAACCTTCCCACTCCTCCCCAGGTGCTAATGAGCAAAGAGATATTTATTCAATAATTGGTGGATAGAAGGAGAAGGAGAATCAAAGGGCACTGATGATCACAAACTCTACCTGGTCCATGTATAATCAAGGGTCGACTACACTTACCTTTCATTTTCTTTTCACATGCATCTTAATAAGTGCTTGTAATTTCCTGTTTTAGCCTTCACTTGTAGCCTCTGGTTGTCACAACATCTTGAATTTGTAGGATGCTTCATGGATCAGGCAGCAGAGCTCAGTCTGTATTCTAAAATGTGGGGTCCAGAGAGCATTGCAACAGCCATTTGCAGAGACAGTGACATCCTGTGGGCTGACCGTGTGGACCCTTTGCTGCCCCGATTCCTGAAACAACAGAAAGTAATCATGAAAGGTCAGACAGGAGTTGTATAAATGAATGAGTAAAAACTCTTAATTCACAAAGGAGCCAATAATTCCAAGTAATCGATAACGATTGTTTTTATTAGTGCATGTTAGGAATACAGAATAGTGAGGTCGCTTCAGGGAAATGGTGCTTGCAAATAACCGATTTTGGGCATTTTCAATCTTCTTTCCACGCTCTTTCTCTCCCTCTTCCTCATCGCCCTCCCCACTTGAAGAGCCTACCTTCTAGTTTCCTATCATCTCTCCTCATCATTTCATTTCCTTAAATATAAACATAGTTTAGGTTTCTCATAAAGCAAATGTGATATTTAACTTTTTGAATCTGGCTTATTTGCCTTAACCTGATGGAGTTCCACCTACCTTCTTGCAAATGACATGATTTCATTCTTCTTCATGGCTGGATAATAGTCTCTTGTGTGTATATGACACATTTCCTTTATCCATTCTTCTGTTGACAGGCACTCACAAATTGTATCACCATAAACGTGGGCACGCTTCTATCCCCAGACTGCTATAATATGTATAGCTATAATATGCAGGTATGGCTCAAGTGATATCTCTATTCCAGTTTTCTGAGGAATCAGCATACTGAGTTCTGTATTGCCATCAACAGTGTAAGATGTAAGACAGCTCCACACCCCTCCCACCACCACGCACACACATCCTCACTCGTATTCATTGCTTTTGGATGTTTTGATGGTAGCCATTCTGGCTGCGGTGAGATGGAATCACAATGTAGTTTTGATTGCATTTTCCTAATGGCTGAAGATGTTGAACATTTTTTCATATACCTATTCGGTGTTGGTATTTTTTTCTTTTGAGGAATTTCTATTCAGTTCATTTGCTATTTTATAGCCTGTGGGGCACAATGCCAATTTTGCCATAGAGGCACATAAATGTAGGTGTATAATACCCATGTTTATTCAACATATATTTCTATTTATGAATTATCAATTTTAATTTTATAATTTTTATTATATTAAATGAGTATTTAATAGGAAAGTATATAAATATATAAAGCATTTACTTGTTAATATTTATTGGTGTTTATAATAAGACATCAAAAATTTCAATATTGATTGTTTTTTGGTATACAAAGTCTAAAAAAAACCAGTAGAAATAAAGTCCAATGAAAATACCAGTAGCACTCTATTACAAGTAATCTCTATTTCAGTTATCACACCGCATTCAGTCTTCACCCGTGACACCAGAACATCCCATACACACGTTGTGCTCACGCTGACAGCTCACGTGCCCAGGTTCCCTTTCCCGTGTGGCAGGCCATTCCTGTCACTTTCCCTCCTGTTTTGTCAGGAGCTTCCCTACTACCCTGTACTAAACTGTGAACTTAGAAGGAAAATAAGAATCAAGAAAATAAAACATCAAATACGTAGTGAATGTTTAGAATAGACATCAACATTTTCATATCAGTTGTGTGCTTTCTTAAAAAAACCTAAAAGATAACATCAGAAATAAAAACCTGTGTAAACTACAGTGAAAATGCCAGTAGGACTCTACAACAACAACAAAAATCTTTGCCTCAATTGTCACACCCAAGGCAGTCTTCACACATGAAAACTGTACATTCTGCACACAAATATTTCTTACATTGATATCACATATGTTTTATTTTCCTGTCGTTTCTTGTAGGGTGCAGTTGACATCTTTTTGGTTTTCCTGTTGACACAGTAGGTTTTGGGAATGCCATATCTGCATATTCACCTGGCAGCTCACCAGTGTGCTCCATACACTTTTTGGCATAGTGCTCTTGACAGAAACCTTTTGATTTTCCTCTACTGTAAATGATCTCTTAAGAGTTCCAGTTTCAATCCTCTAAGAAAAATTTTCCATGGTATTTTGCACTTGTTATTTTCTTCATAAACTATCGAACTATTTATGTCACACATTTGTTTCAAGTGACATCACAGTTGCTGCATAACTCATCAACAACATCTACTCCACCATTAGTTTTGTTGTAGAAAGTTTTCATCTCAGACTTTTACTTTGTCAAGGTCACCCTATCAATATTCCCATTACAGTGCAATGTTGACATCAACAGTACCAGTTTGGCCAGGCGCAGTGATGCACACCTGTAATCCCAGCACTCGGGAGGCTGAGGCAGAAGGATCGCTGTGAGGTCAAGACCAGCCTGGGATACATAGTGAGTTCGAAGTCAGTCTCAAATACATAGTGAGACTCTGTCTCAAAAAGCAAAAAAAAAAAAAAAAAAAAAAAAAAAAAAAAAAAAAAAAAAAAAAAAAAAATAAAAAAAAAAAAAAAAAAAAAAAAAAAAAAAAAAAAAAGAAAGAAAAGAAAGAAAAGGAAAACAGTACCAGTTTGTTTTGCTTTGCCATATATAAGGCCAATATAAAACTTTCTGAAATCTTAAGATTGTACTATATAATTCTCTGCTTTGAAGTTGCAAGATTTCTTTTGGAATTTCTGCTTTGTTCTCATGTACAATTCCTATGCTGCTCAACTTGTGCTCTTTTAGCAAATGTAACATCAATTATAAACTGGAAAAATAACTGTCCAGTGTCACATTCTGATTAGTTTGAGAGACAGGAACAAGACTGTTTACAACTCTATTTGGTTTATGACTACACAAATAAGGACTAGGTGACTGAGTTCCAGGATAAATTTCCAAATTGAAAGAATAATAAGTCTTCACATCTACAAGGGCATAAGTTTTTATGCCATATTTGGATCCAGTGATTTTCCATAAGTCTTTTACACTCTTGGTATTATCATGAACAATCCCTGATAAGCACAGCAGACCTATGAATACTATCAGTTCAGCTTGTGAAATGTCAGAATGTAAACATTTCTAATATGGCTATTGCAGCGTATAGAATATTTTACTTGTATTTCAGCCTTTGTGTATTTCATAACATCGTGTAACCATTTGTCTGCTACAATTTCCAACACTGAATGGCAGTGCTAGCATTCTGTCCAACAGGTTTCACCCTTGACGAGATTCTCACTATGTTTTCAGACCTGGTTCTAACATTGGATCATTCCATTTGGTTGCGTGACCATTTCACAACATTTCATGTAGTCAAATATGTACTCACATTGCTGTTTTCTTCATCATTTGAATCAAGGAGATCTGCATTCCCTGTGTGTATATCAATTATTCTTGCTCTGTTTCATTGTCACAGGAACTTTGGCTCCCATGGCCAATGTCAAAGTCATTGTCATCATCATCCATCCATGAGTTATCTGATGGTTCACTTTTGTCCTCCTCTAAAACTTGCAAATTTAGGCTTTTGTGGGCCATGGTACTGAACTGGGCTATTTCTACCAGAAAAATCAAAAGAAAAGTTTTCAGAAATCAAACCCTAAATGTACAGAAACTTAGCAGTGTGCATTTCATGTACATTTCATACTGCTTTGAAGCTCCTGAATACACCTTGCCATTGGTCTGCCAAGTGGGTAAATGCACAGATGGGTTTTGGGTTTCCCCAGGTGCCACTACTCTCACATTGCATTGTGGTAAAATACATGTTTTCATAGCAGAAGACTGGTGTGGGTCTATTTTACCCCTGTGACGCTCAGGTAGTCATGCACAAAACCTGTTAGCCAGGACATAATGTGGGTAAAAATCCTAGTTTGACATTGTTGCACATGTGCACACACCTTGTTGCTCATCGTACCAAGTGGGTAAACATGAAGATTGCTTCCTGTATCCCACAGATGCAGCTATTGAGACACATATCTGGCTATGGTTATGCTAAAGTACAGATTTATAGTGGAAATTATGGAATGGGTTGTGGTAACCCAATTACTTCTTTGGGTTATTTTTTAGTTCTTTATATAAGCTGGATATGAATCCTTT